CATTTATTTTAAATTTATGTATTATAAGTGCTTCATTTGCATGTATGTAGGTGAACCACATGCATGTCTGGTGCCCACAGAAGCTGGAAGAGGGCTTTGGATCCCCTGGAACTGGGATTAAGGAGAGGTATTAACAGCTATGTAGGTGCTGGGAATTGAATCCAGGTCTTCTGCAAGAGCAGTCAGTGCTCTTAACAGCTGAGCCATTTCTCCAGCCCAATATTTTCAGCTTTTTGAGGAACCTTTATATTGATTTCCATTATCAGCTGCATGTGATGCTAATCTTTGTTGTCAACTTGACTGGATTTGTAATCAGTTAAGAGATAAGCCTCCAGGGCACACCCGCAAGGGATCATCTAGATTGAGGTTAACCTCTGAGACAAGGACAGCTCAGTCACAAGGAAGTGGGAAGGAAAGAGGCTTTTGTGTTGTTTGCTGTGTTGCCTGCACAGCTGTCTTGTTGCCTGTTCAGCTATCTTGTTGCTGTTGTTGCTGCTGCTACATCCCTTTACTTATTTCAGAACCCAGTTCCTTCAAAGTTCCAAAGTGGATGAAGACTACTGGCTTTCCAGGAATCCTCCAGGTCTTCAGCACCAGCTCAGTCTGCTGAGGCCAGCCTTGGGGACAGAGCATCTACCAAGTTCTTCAGCCTCTCCAGTGTGAGACAGCACTGCTGGACCACCCAGACCGTATTGTGTAAGTTAACTTCATGAATCCTCTCTATTATGTGCTCCCCTATCACATCAGTTCTGTTCCCCTAGAGAACCCTGACTAATACACTGCACAAGTTTGCATTCTCACCAGCAGTGAATTAAGGGTTCCTCTTTCCCCACATCTTCGCAAGCATTCGCAGCCATTTTTCAGTTCTTTCTGAGTGAGAAGGAATCTTAAAGCAGTTTTAATTTGCATTTTCCTGATGGCTAAGGATGTTGAAACTTTCTGCTTTTTTAAAAAGTTTGTTTTATGAATGTATGAGTGTTTTGCCAGCGTGTATGTAAGTGCACCATTTGCACACAGTACTCATAGGGGCCAGAAGAGGGTGTTGGATTCCCTGGAACTGGAGTTATAGACAATTGTTAGCTGCCATGTGGGTTCTGGGAACCGAATCTGGGTACTCTGAAAGAACAGTCAATGCTCTTAACCACTGAGTCATCTTTCCAGCCCCTACTCTGAATTTCTTAAAACCTATTAAAATGATATTTTTGAACATATTAGGTGTTTCAGCAAGCCTTAAAATGCTATTTGTTTATATAAAACAGCATTCAGTAGAGATAAAGTTTTCACCAAGCAATGAAAAGTAATGCTATCTACCTAGAGTTTGATAAGATTTCCTTTCAAAACAGGTTCTAAATTTTAAAAATCATATTTATATTCATTCATAAATTAGGGAGAGAGAGAGAGAGAGAGAGAGAGAGAGAGAGAGAGAGAGAGAAGAGAGAACTTGGAGAAATCTAATCATTAAGTTTTAAATGATTTATTTAATAAAAAGATAAAAGACAAAACCTTTGTTCTTTAAGCCAGTTTATTAAACTAAGCATTACTAAGGCACAAGTTCTATCTCAGGATATTTGAGAATTTTAATAACCTTTAATTACAGTTAACTTAGTTATGCTTATGTCACCTTTCTTTAGGTTTTTACTTCCACAACATTTTTACAAAATACTAGTGATAGAGTTCAGGCCTATAGTCATGCTTCCCCCAGTGCAGCAAGGCCTCATAATTTTGCAAACCCCCACAGGACAAGTTTTGCAAGGCCCCATGGATTACAGGAACTGTGTCAATAGTTATGCTGACCATCTGCAGATAGATGGTACATGGGTACAATCTGTACCCATGACCCAAGACCCCATGACTGCAAGAGCTGTCTTAGCTCAAGCTGCTTCCCCTTGATAAGCTTCACAATGTGCAGACCCTGCTTCCTGCCAAAACTGTAAAGATTATTTTTGCTGCCTTCTGCATTCCCAATTCTCTGTAAGAACTTCCCTAGCAGTCATCAGGCTGCTGGTTACTTTCAGTCCTGTGCTGAATGCCAGCCCCTGCGACCCTCCACAATGAACTTCACTTTGCCGGAGTCCTCCAGTGTTTTCTGTGGGAATTCCCTGTACAATTTATCTAACATCTTGTGCTGTGACTCAGATCACAGCTCTTGGAGGTCTCCAGGGAGGACTGTGGCTGGGCCAATCAATGGTTACTGGCCCCTGCACTCGCCACCAATTCGGCTCTGAGGTACCTCCTCTTCCTTCACTGCCCCACCAAGCCCTTGCCTCTCCAGCTCCTTGATTCTCCTCTTAGGACCCTCTTCTTCCTTTTAAGCTCCAAGGTCATTCCCAAACCTAGCCTAAGGCCACTGGGTGACACTGGTCTCCAAGACCATTGCGCTGACAGCATGGTTACTGTGCTTTGCCCAAGCCCATCTGGTGGGTGGATCTACCCACCCATCACACTCAAGTCCTGTCACTTAGAGTTTCTTCAGTCCAGAGACTCACCCTCACAAAGGAGCACAGCCATCTTCCCAGCCCGCTAAAAGGTTTTCTAGCTACCCCTCATGACCAGGGGTCCCTGAGACATTAGTAGCCTATTACCTATGTAGGGGGTGCAAGCCTCTTGTCTTGAGGCTTTATTGGTGGTCTGTGTAAACCTTTTGGGTTTAGATTTGGTGAACCAGGATCTCCTCTCTCTCTTTCTCTCTCTCTCTCTCTCTCTCTCTCTCTCTCTCTCTCTCTCCCTCCCTCCCTCCCTCCTTCCCTCCCTCCCTCTTGCCCTCCACGCTTCTTCCCTCTTATTCTGTCTCCTTGCTGTGCCACACTGCCAAACGGACTTTCTGAGCCTTATAAAAAATGCACCCGTGCATCAGAAAGTCCCACATATTTCCCCTCCCTAGTCACAGGACGCTGCTTCTGAAGATTTGGGACACTCTCTCTTCCTCAGGACTCCCTTCCATTATGGTATACCTCTCTGGTTGGCAGTCCCACACTCATTTGCCTGGCACACTTCTCACTTCATGCCTCTTTTCCCTCTTTGTCTTGCTCTCCTGTTTCTTGTAGCCCTAGCTCTCCCTCCCGAAATCTTGTCTACCATCTCAGACTCTGTATCCCTTGGTGAAAAAGATCTTTACTGCCTCCTATTACTCACTCAAGCCCTTTTTCACTTTCTCTTTGCCATTTGCCTAGCCCACCATGGGAACCTCTCAATCTAAACCTACAGGCCTTTCCCCCGACACCTGTCTCCTCCAGTCTCTCAAACCATTGGGGCTCTTAGATAGTTAGGCCAAAGCATCTCAAATTTTTCTGCACCATGGCCTGGCTGTAGTATAAACTGGACAATGGCTCCATCTGGCCAGACTCTGGAACTCTAGATTTCAACATTCTAAGAGATTTAGACAATTTCTGACTTAATGGCAAATGGTCTGAATTCCCTTATGTCCAAGCCTTCTTTGCCCTCAACACAAGGCCCTCCCTCTGTGCCTCCTGCCACATGCACCAAAGTTTTCCTTGCTAAAACCACCCGGAGTGACTCAGAGCCTTCTGCCCCAGAGCCTTCTGCTCCTCCTCCATATTCTCTTACTTTAGCTGTTGACCCCAACTTGGCAGACGAATGATCCCCAGTGGCCTGCCATTGCTCTCCTCCTCCTCCCAACCATCTTCCACTCCTCAACCAACCTCTTCTACACCTCAACCAATCCCTCCTATTCCTCAACCAACCCCTTCCACTCCTCAACCAAACTCTCCTATTACCACTACCCAACCAAACTCCTCTGCTACCCCACCTCCACTGTCTTCCTCTTCCTCTTCCTTCTCCCCTCCTCACCACCCTCCCAACCATCCTCCTATTTTCCCACCCCTCCACCCTCCCTTAGGTCTCTCTTCAAGGGAATTCAAGATCTCTAACACCTTTCCTCCACTCTCTCCTCCACACCCCGTCCTGCTCCCCCCATTTCTGCCACTGCCCCTATGCTGGCCTCACCCTCATGTATCATGGATATTCCCCCTGATTCCCCATCCCCCACCTTTAGCCTTTCCATTCCTTTACCCCTCCCTGCACAATCTTCTGTGTCCCATCAGACCCACTCTCAAACAGAATCCCAACCTCAATCCCAAACCCCTGATAGCATCTTTCCCCTCAGAGAGGTAGTGGGTGTTGAGGGGGTTGTTAAGGTCCACATCCCTTTATCCCTCAGTGACCTGGCTCAGATTGAAAACAGGGTGGGATCATTTTCCACTGACCCCACCAATTTCATTAAGGAATTTAAATACCTAACCCTTAGTTATGACCTGACCTGGCATGATATTTTCATGAGTCGCCAGTCTACCCTCTCTCCCAGTGAGAGAGACAGGGTCTGGACAGCTGCTCAAGAGTACACTAATGAAGTCCATTTGACTGACCAGACCTGCCCCATTGGGTCTGTAGCTGTTCTCTGACAGGACCCTGGCTGGAATTATCAGCCCCCACCAGAGGGATAAGATGGCTTCTCTCCAGGCAGGGCTTTGAGGGACCAGATGGTCACCTGCCTTCTGGCAGGCCTTCAGAAGGCCTCACCCCCCAAAGTTGTTAACTTTGATAAACTAAGAGAGATTACCCAAAATCCCACTGAAAACCCTTCTCAATTCATGGCCAGGCTAACTGAGGCCTTAATTCAGTACACCCAGTATGATCCAGAGTCTAGGGAAGGACAGTTTATGCTCAACCACCACTTTATTTCACAATCAGCTTCAGATATCAGAAGCTTAAGCATTTAGATAAGGGCCCTGAGATTCCCCCCCCCCCCAACCAGGGAAATCTATTGGATTTGGCATTTAAAGTGTTCAATAACAGAGAAACAGGAGAGGGCAGACAAGATTACCCTGTCTAGACCAAAAGACCAGCTGATGGCTCTAACCCTGAAGGCTCCTCCAAAGAATATGGCAGACTCCAATGGGGCCCAACAACTGCCACCAGGTCCCTGTTTCAGATTTGGACATACCATTGGGCAAAGCTGTGCCCCAACCCACGACCACCTCCTGGACCTTGTCCCCAGTGTGGGCAGTGGGGTCACTGGAAGGTCGATTGCTCTTCTTTGCCATGCCAACGTAGGCTGATCACTTCCCCGCCCCTGCTCACTTTACAGGGATCTGTGGATGGCCTTCTGGGCATGGCAGCTGAAGACTGATGAGGCCCTGACTCCTTGGCCCCCACCTCCTCGATGACCATCACCATGGAGGAGCCCAGGGTAACAGCAACAGTGGCAGGTAAGACCATGTCATTTGTCATAGATACAGGGGCCACTTGGTCTGTCCTCCTTTCCTACCCTGGTAAACTTTTTCCCTCACAGATCTCCATGGTGGGGGTCAATAGGAAGTCCCACACCCCTAGAACAACAGGACAGTGGCAGCCTTGTCTCTGTGCTCTGGCTGTCGCAGCCCTGCTGGCCCAGGAGGGAGTCAAGGTCACTTTAGGTCAGTACATTTCTGTTCTCTTCCCCCATCACCTTAAGGACTGTATCCTGGAAATTACTCAGTCCCCGGAAAAGCATGGGCAACAGACAAGCATGGGGCACCCTGGAAAAGAGGGGTGGAGCCAGCCAACCTGCTGCGGAGAGTTAGCCAAGCCACTGTGAGATAGGGTGCGGCCTTTTTGGGAACTCCTGGGAGTGAGCTGTATGGCCTGAGAATGACGAGAATGGTGAGAATGGCCAGCGGACACCCTGCCTGTCCTGCAGGCTCTGCAAGGTGAGATGAAGCAGACTGTGGAGATGGCACATGGGCACGTGGTGTGAAAGCGATTGGGAATGATGGGGTGTGGGGGTTATGAGGAGCTGTTTCTTTGTAAGTCATCCCCTCCCAAAGTTATATAAAACAGTACCAAACCCAAATGAAAAATGTCGTATATTAGTCTGTGAGCCATGGGGCCTCAGCATCCATGCACATGAACCTCCCAAGAAGGGAAAATGGAAGAAAATTTAGTGCAACAAATTGATGTAGTACTGCTGGATAGAGGAACTGAGGGAGTCCCAGTAGAACTTGGGGATGTGGGCCTGGGAAAGTGGCATGGTTCCAGCAGCGTTTGGTGAGCCACTTGAAAGGGAGCTGAGTACAGATTCCCAAATCCAGAAGGGTGGAGATGGGAGCCACAAGGAGTCCCGTGAAGTAATCGACACATCCAGGAGAAGTTGGCGGAAACCCAGGGGAGAGCAGGGCCAAACCCCATAGGCTTAAGGGGGCTAGCTATACTCATATGCATTATACAATGGATCATTAAATATATAATTAGAATGATGGAGGCCACGCAGACGTGGACAGACTCAAAGAGAAAAAAATCCCATGACCACAGCTGTGCTGTAAATGTGGGGAAATATCTCAGTTGCTAAAAAAATTGGAGTCCACCTCCACGTGGATCTGAAAACTTAAAGATTATAGAGAGCCTGGAAAAAAAAAATCTTACAAGCAAGAGAGGAACCCAGAGAGGGGGTGTAGCCACTTTGCATAATAAAACATTTTCCCAAGGCAGAGCAAGCTGAAAAGGCCAGGGAGTTAATGGCAGATTCAGTTTCAGCCACAGAGCTTGAGGAGAAAACAAAACAAAACAGGACATTTTAACTTGTGTAAGGTTAGAGGACCAGGGGTCCAAAAACCCAGGAAAAAAGACAGATATTAATAAGAAAAGACACTACCTAAAAATAAAAGCAGCTAAAGCTGCCCTTCAGATTCAACCTTTGATACAAAAAGAGGAAAAAGCTAACAGTACTGTAGCTAGGGAATACTCCACACTGGAGCTGTTAAAACTAGGAAAGACAAACAAGCAATTGGAGAGCCCCTCACCACGTGGCTCATGAGGGTATGGGACATGGGAGCAAGTAACGTCAGTCTAAGTCTCTCAGCATCTTCACAGCTGAGTTATATAACCACCCATCCATCCTTAATGGGATGGCTAGTGCAAAGCATTAAAGGTACATGGTCATCACCAAGGGAAACTTCCATAGTTAACAGAAGCTGGAGGACTATAAAGGAGGGACAGGCATTACTGAGAGAACTAGGTATGAGAAAAGCAATATATGATGCCCACTTCACTGGGCCAGATAAGACTGTGTTCATCACAGATATAAAGGAAAGCTTAATTCAACTGGGACCTTGAGAATGGTATAGAGTGTTAGGAGTAATGGTTTTGCTTAGTCCTTTAATGGGACAGGATCTTTGTAAAGTGAGAGAGGCTTTAGCAGATCTAAGTGACTCTGGACAGCATGTAAAACATGTCTGTAGAATAACAGAACACTGTACAAGAGATATAAAAAAGACCAGGCAGAAGAAATGGTCTGTTTGGGTTACTTGAAGACAAATGTGGCAAGATTTATGTCAAGCCCAAATTCCCAAAGAAAAAAATTGATAGAAAACCAAATTCGGTACTAAAGAGTTTCTGGAAGGCTTTAAAACCAGAAGAATGGTTTACAAAAGGCATTCAAAGGGTAAAAACTGTCCTAGGGGTGGTTAAGGATCCCCAAAAGATTAAATAAGGTGCATTTCCCTCTTTAAAAAAGCTATGCTAGGGGTGGTTGTAGTTTTTCCCACCAGGGCCTCCCCCAGCAGCAAGGTATGGTCAACGGAAAGATGATATGGCAACAGTCAGGAGGCAGACCCAGGATTTGCCTGACTCAGGGAACAAACAGATGCAGTGGGGACATGAGAAATCCCCTGCCTCCTTAGGCTAGTGCAGAGTTAGGCAACTTGAGCCAGCACCTGTAAGTGTATTGTGCTGGATAGCTTTAGTGTCAATTTGACACACCTGGGTTGAGGGAACCTCAATTGGGGAATTGATTCCATTGGACTGGCCTGTGGCCATGTCTGTGGGGCATCTTCTTGATTGTTGAGTGATGTGGGAGGGCCCAGCCCACTGTGGGTAGTGCCATCCCTGTGCAGGTGGGCCTGTGTTGGATTAAGAGAGCAAGCTGAGCTGCGTTGGATAAGAGAGCAAGGCAGGGGAGCAAGCCAGTAAGCAGCGTTCCTCCATGGCCTATGCTTCAACTCCTGCCTCCAGGTTCCTTCCCTGAGTTCCTACCTTGGGCTCCCTGATGAACTTTGACCTGGGAGTTGTAAGCTGAATAAACCCTTTCCTCCCCAAGTTGGTAGTGGTCAGAGTATTTTGTCACAGCAATGGAGAAACAAACTAGTACATGTATCAAGGATAAAAGAATACAAAGAGACTCCATGTAAGATCCCCAGAATGTGGAATGACCCCAAGGGAATAACTAAAGATAGTAAAGAACTAACCAGATTAATGCCTCTTACCCATGCTATAGTACCTGACAAAGATCTATGGAGAAAGCAATTAATATGAATGGATAAAACCTTTCCCTGCTGTGTTAGACCTTGTCTATGATTGATTTAATATATGATGCTAACCTTTGAGTGTTTTGCAGATATGAAACCCATTTGAAAGATACCCAAAGAAACAAAGGCCAGCTATAGCTGTAAGATTCTTGGGATTTTTATGGTTGGGTAAGATAAAAACAGAGGCTCCCAAAACTATACAACTGTTAAGAAAAACTACAGTACCAGGGTGGGTTGTCCCCCTATGAGCTGTTGGTCAGCAAGAGACTCTAGAGATTCTCAAATTAACCAAGGCTATTGCCACTATGTCAGCTGTACACAAGAAAGGTTGGTAAGGCCATGTTGCTGAAGACACTGCATGATGTGAGCACAGGAGAAGAAGAGATGGAGCTGAGTCTAAGCCAAAATCTCCATGTCACTGGATGCCAGAAATCACTATGCAGATTGTTGGGGAAAAAAGAATCCCCTATGATTCTACTCAACAATGGACTTTGTGTGCTGCACACTATGGACAGGTCAAGCAATACCTGCTACTACAATAATGGCTTGACTAACATACATACAACTGACAAATTTCTAATTGGATAAGGCCCGCTCCTAGGGGTGGAACACACATCTAGTACTGTAGATCAGGCCAATCCTGTGTCAGGGAAGTCTATAGGCCCCAGTAGGAAACCTGTTGCAAGTACACTGTTTGATGAATATGGTACACCTACTGGGATATTTTCTAGGCATTTGTATTTACGTTCATGTTTAACAGTATCTACTTCCTTCCATTTGTCTTCATAGTAGGGGAAACAACACTGAGATAGATCACCAGCCGTGTCTTGAAGATGAATGATTGGGAGGCCCAAGAGTTCCCTATCTTGCCATGATACAAGAGAGAGCACCCTATGTCTGTCACCCCCTTCAAGGCTCAGGGAAATTCGCAGAAGAGATGGTGGAAAGTTTGTCAGAGCTGGAGGAAAGGGGTGGAGTGTAGCCCGGAAATTACTCATTCCTCCAAAAAGCATGGGCGATAGATGAGTGTGGGACACCCTGGGAAAGAGGGGTGGAGCCAGCCAAGCCTCTGCAGAGAGCTGAGCCGCTGCAAAATAGGGTGTGGCCAGATGGAGAGTTAGCAGCGACCATTTTGGGAACTCCGGGAGTGAGGCGTGAGGCCTGACAACAGTGAATAGTGACGGGTGAGAATGGCTGGCAGATGCCCTGCCCTTCCTGCAGGCTCCACAGGGCGAGATGAGGCTGACTGTGGGGTGAGATGGCACATGGGTGCAGGGTGCGAAAGTGATTGGGAACAGCAGACTGCTGTGCGGCACGGCGCAGGATGCAGGGGTTATGAGGAGCTGTTTCTTTGTAAGTCATCCCCTCCCAATGTCATATAAAACAGTACCAAACCCAAACTAAAAATGTCGTATGTTAGTCTGTGAGCCCTGGGGCCTCAGAGGGCATGCCAAGAAGGGATAAGGGATAAGGGAAGAAAATTTAGTGCCACAAGAACCTACTAACTCACTCATCTCTCACTGCTCTTGCCCCCTCTAAGTTACAGCTCTTCCATACCACTTTCCTTGAGAACCCGCCACTCACTTGTGGACTCATGCACCCCCCACAACCCTGCCTCCCTCCTCTCTTCTGCCACACCACTCACTCATATTTAGAAACTCTTCAGGAACTTTCCTACCAAGATCCCTTGATTTCCCTAGAACACCTACCTGACTCAACCATGACCTGGTTTGTAGATGGCAATTCAACTCTCCCCCCAACAGGGTCCCACAGGGTGGGGTATGCCATAGTGTCTCTCATGGACATTGAGTCTGAATCATTGCTACCTGGGACGACCTTAACAGAGGGCAGAACTTATAGCACTCACCAGGGCTCTGACCATGGCCAAGAACCAGAGAATATTTTCACAGATTCTAAGTATGCCTCCCACACACTTCATCATCATGCCTTGGTATGAAAGGAAAGGGGCCTCCTTGTTGCCAAAAGAACCCCCATTATCAATAGCTGTTTAACTCTCAAGATCCTAGAGGCCTCTTACCTCCTGGCCAAGGTAGCTTTAATCCACTGTAAGGGACATCAACCTCTTATTGATCCCACAGTCAGAGGTAATGACTTGGTGGACTGGACAGCTAGGGAAGCCAGCAAGGCCCAATACACTGCCAGTGGCCTGCTCTTCCTGGCACCAGAGGGAATGGCCCCTCTTATTCCTCCCAACAAGAGTCTAGTCATGGGGGCTAACCAAGGGCCAGGAGGATGGTTGATCTAAAAGGATAAATATTGACTACCTGAGGGACATAGCCCACTTACATAATGTCTTCCACGTTGGGGCCCACCTGCTTTACAACTTTTTGGAATCCCTCATTCACTGCCCTTAGCTTTTCCTCCTCACAGAAGTCACCAGATCATGCCCCACCTGCACCATTGTCTCCCTTCAGGGTGCCCCACCTGCACCATTGTCTCCGCCTTTTAAACCTCATCATCATAGGGGGGCTCTTGCAGGGGTCGATTGGCAAGTAGATTTCACCCACAT